GAGGTCCAGCTCCGAGGGCCTTCTGGCGGTTCCCTGCGAGAAGCGAGGTTACAGAGAACCAGACAGAGGGCTTTCTCGATAGTGGCGCCCGCCCTGTGGAACACGCTCCCATCAGATGTCAAGGAAATAAACAACTATCTGACTTTTAGAATACATCTGAAGGCAGCCCTGTTTAGGGAAGTTTTTAATGTTTGATGTTTTATTGTATTTTTAATATCCTGTTGGGAGCCGCCCAGAATGGCTGGCAAAACCCAGCCAGATGGGCAGGGTATAAATAATTTATCATCATCATCTTCTCACAGTGATTAATCAGATGCCTGTTATGAGTGGTGGTTGAGCTGCAAAGTGGAAAACTGAATTCTGCAGAAACACAGCTGCTCCTGTCCTTTCTTTTTATTTATTGTCCCCATTATCTTAGTACCCCTCTCCATACATCCAGGGCCCAAGGTATATGTCAAACTGAAGTGTGAAAAGCAAAATTCTGCAGCAAGGACAGTAACCAAAATTGCCTTAAATTTTGGAGGGACCTGTACAGAGAAGGAAAAACCAAGGCAATGTACCTATTTTTGCATGTGGCACAGAACCATTGGCCTGCCACCTCCCCCTCTTCCCCTACATGTGGGAGCCTGCAAGGTGGTTCAAATTTTAATTTTGAGGATGGTTATGGTTCTTTGTTAAGCGTTGAATGGCTTGGGACCAGTTTACTTACCTTATTCCTTATATATGTAAGGAATTCAGTCCTTATATATCCCATTGAGCGCTTTGATCAGTGGAACTGGCCCTGCTAAAAAGGTGTCACATAATACTCATTCCGCATTTGTACAAAGTCAGTTTTTTATTGTAGCAGCACCTACATTTTAGACCTCCCTGCCTACTGACACCAGGCAGGTGCCTTTGCCATACTTTTTTCAGTGCCTGCTGGAATGCCATACATGGCTTCTCTGATGGTTGACCAGTGACCCGAGAGCCTCTTGCAACCTCCTTTCCAGCCACTCTCCACACAATGCATTAATTGATGCTTCACGTCTTACGAAAGTGACCTTTCACATGCAGGGTTTGTAATTAGCAGGGCGCCTGGCACATTTTGCACCGAAAGATGCTCCATTTGCGAGCTCCTCAAAAGGTCTGGGTGCCATTTTTTTGCGCCTGGCTAAAACCATAGCTTTAACTACACGGACCTTTGTTGGCAAGGTGATGTCTCTGCTTTTTAAGATACCTAGACAGCATCTTAAAAAGCAGAGACATCACCTTGCCAACAAAGGTCCGTATAGTTAAAGCTATGGTTTTCCCAGTAGTGATGTATGGAAGTGAGAGCTGGACCATAAAGAAGGCTGATCGATGAAGAATTGATGCTTTTGAATTATGGTGCTGGAGGAGACTCTTGAGAGTCCCATGGACTGCAAGAAGATCAAACCTATCCATTCTGAAGGAAATCAGCCCTAAGTGCTCACTGGAAGGACAGATCGTGAAGCTGAGGCTCCAATACTTTGGCCACCTCATGAGAAGAGATGTCTCCCTGGAAAAGACCCTGATGTTGGGAAAGTTGTAGGGCACAAGGAGAAGGGGACAACAGAGGACGAGATGGTTGGACAGTGTTCTTGAAGCTACTAGCATGAGTTTGACGAAACTGCAGGAGGCAGTGGAAGACAGGAGTGCCTGGCGTGCTCTGGTCCATGGGGTCACGAAGAGTCGGACACGACTAAACAACAAAACAACAACAACACTCAAGGATTACTGAAAAGTATGTGCTTTGAAGCGTCAAAGTATATGTTAAGGATAGACAGTAAGTTAAGGAGTTTAACAATAAAGAGTACAGTGTTTTGAAAACTGAAGTATGGTATCAATATTTTTATTGTAAATGCCAAATTAAACACGTATTAACAATTTCTGTACAAAAATGTGATATTAACAATGTGTCACTTATGCTTATCAAAAGAAGAAATAAAAAGTGTTGCCAACCCCCCAAATGGCGACTAGACATTTTGTTTTTGAACCCACAACGCAGGTCCCAGGATCCAGTTTGGCTCCTAGCTTTTGTATCCCAGTTTCTAACACTGTTCACATGGTATGCAGCCAATATGACTTCTCCCAGGATCAGTTAAACACTATCAAAGAGTGGCTTTTTCACACACTAGGGGCTTCTGTGAGGTTTTCACTCCAGAATTAATTCTCTATCGTCTTCAGGTTTTTTTGGGGGGAGGGTGTGAGCTGTTGCTGGAGGTTCTCCCCCACATCACATGGTGTAAACTCACCTTCTTTCATCGGTATTTATGATCATGGTTCCTGACATGTCATGGAATTTCCCACCAGAAAACAAGTCTCTAAGAGTTGGAGCATATTTTGAGGGCATGTGGGGACAGAAGTCACATTGTCTGAGTGAAACTCCACACAATCGTTGGATACAACCCATAATGTCTGTGTAATATTTCTTTAGCACAGAGCACAGGTGGGCGTGCCAACCAATTCCTAATATGACAAAGTTTGCTACTGGAACTTTTTTCAACCCGACACTGAGTTCTCAGAGTACAGCTTCGGTTATGTGGGTCCTCTGATGCTTAACAAGAGTGCATCTTTGGCTAAAGCTTTTCTCACACTTGGCACATTTGAAAGGTTTCTCGCAGAGATGTTTCCTTTGGTGGTCTACCAAACTGTCACTCCGGGAAAAGCTCCTCCCACACTGGGGACACATGTGTGGCTTCTCTCCTGTGTGGATCCTCTGATGCCTCATCAAATGGGCTCTCTGACTGAAGAACTGGCCACACTGAGGGCATTCAAATGGTCGCTCCCCAGTATGGATCCTCTCATGCCTGATCAATGTCGCTCTATTAGAGAAACATTTCCCACACTCGGGACATTCATAGCATCTCTTTCCTGCACGAACAAGTCTCTGTAAATTCTCTCTTGGGCGGAAAGCGAGCCCACCCTCAGAGCGTTCATTCGATTTCTCTCCAGTGTGCAGTCTCTGGTGTCTCTTCAGATTTTCTCCCTGCCTGAAGCACTTCCCACAATCAGGACACTTAAAAGGTTTCTCTCCTGTTTGGATTCTCTGGTGTTGGGAACGGAAAGCTTTTTGCTGGGTGTTCCCCTCACACTTCAGATAGTTAGAGCAATCCTCTCCATTATAAGCCGTAAGTCCTATGTTGTGGTAGTGGTACCTTCTTTGGTATTTGGAAACGAAGGAATTTTCTGCTCTGGAGTGTCGAAGGGAGGGCTTGTTATGCGCATCTTCTAAAAGCTCCCTGGAGCCATTTTCTCCCCTCACTGGTTCCTTCCCCTCGCATCTCTGCTCATGAATTGCTCCAGCTCCAGGAATGGTCCGTAGAGATAATAACTTCATTATTGTCCCTGTCTCTTCCTGCTGTGAGGGGTTCACCTTGATCAGACATCTCTTTTCATCACCTGAAGAGACAGAGAGAATTGTTTTTTGTTTTGTTTTTAAAATCTAGGTTCTTGTCACCTTTCCTAGACTTCATGCCAACCTTCCCTCCTGCGCGCTCTCTCTCTTTCGTTCTCCAAAGTAGGGTGTGTCGTTGCTAAAACTCCTCTTTATTTCCTGTATCTATGATCATATCCCACAACAACCATACCTTTACATTTAGAAGTCAATGGGCTTTAGGTGACCAGGATTTCCAGCGACTGAGGTGAGGCTTCAAGGCCCAGCATAATTCCTCGCAGACCAAAACTTGAATAGATTTTACGGTAAATACTAAAAACAACAGAATAAATCGTGCAAAAAAGCAAGATTTCACAATGCTGCAGCACTGAACTTCAGGAGCTTCTTTCAGCACAGATGACAACAGTCCTTCTGTCGAGGGCCAATAGCAATGGGATTAATAACTGAATATTTTAAGGTCGAATGCTGTGTTCTCAAATGATGTTAATGCCTCCGTTGCAACAGTTAAGGATTTCTTAACCAGCAACAATGGTTCTCAGAGGCTTGATTTCTTTAACACTAATTTCTTTTATTTGAACTGACAAACCTTGCTAACAACAAAAAGAACCCTGCTTCTACAAAATGTAAAGGAAAGGAAGAAAAGAAGAGGAAAGTGCATTTCTTTTTGCGTTTCATAATACTTGGTGGGAATTAAGGAAAAAACTAAAATAACTTTATGTCACTCCCAAACCATTCCCCTTAAAGGAACACCACACTTTCTCAACATCTTCTATGGCCACATGACACACTTCTCTTTCTTCTCAGTGAAATAAGGAAATTCACCTGAATTGCAAATAACACGTGGCTCAGGCAATTGGCAAGGGACGCGGGCGGCGCTGTGGGTTAAACCACAGAGCCTAGGGCTTCTGATCAGAAGGTCGGCGGTTCAAATCCCCACGACGGGGTGAGCTCCTGTTGCTCGGTCCCTGCTCCTGCCAACCTAGCAGTTCAAAGGCATGTCAAAGTGCAAGTAGATAAATAGGTACCACTCCAGTGGGAAGGTAAACAGCGTTTCCGTGTGCTGCATTTTGGGCACCACAGAGGAATGCAGGAAGCTGCCTTATGCTTGAGCAGACCACTGTCCCATCTTCCTCAGTATTTAGGGTTGCCATATTTCAGAGTGAAAATCTGGACAAAAAAGTTGTTGAGGTTTTGGTTTTTTTGCAAAATCTCAAAAAAAGGAAAAAGTTTTTGAGCTATTTTTTTTTTTTGTGTGTCCCAGTATTCACAATGCTGTCCTTCCTGATGCATATGAAGTGTTTTTATTTGGCACATTATTGATACATATGTAAAAAAAAAAGAAAAAAGAGAATGAATCATACTCTTACAATTAGTAGTTTACAAGAACAAAGCAAAAGCAAATGTCATGAGCAAATTAAAAAAGGGTTTTCCCAACTGAGAATCCTACTGGACTACTTCATCAACAAAATATACAAATTACATTTCCTACCATTGTTCAATTGCTAGAGTTCTTCCCCTGTGTCATATTACTGTGCTCTATCTTACAGTGCCCTGGGTTCTGTAAATCCAGATGTTAAGATTTATGAGACGTTGATCAACCTATTTCTATCCGTTTTTTCCTTAAGTCAGTTCCCTGTTTTAGTGCAGATATTTAGAGTTCTATAAAGTCTTGTAAACTCTGGTCACATTCCAGCAGCAGTTTGCATCAACCGTCCCTTGCTGGCAACATTCTTCCCTTCCTTTGACAAAGATGCATATTAAACTGTTGTGTCTCCAAAGTCCTTGTTCCAGCGAATATAAGCTTCCAGGGTCTGTGGGCTGAGACTGCTTTTTATTTTCTTCAAGGACTCGGTGAAGTCTGACAATTTGATATTTCTCATCTCACTGGCAGACATGTTCTTCACTTGCTCTGGTTTTAGTTCTCGTATAGGACCCAGTGCTGCATCTTTTGCTAATGCTGTTAAGTCACTCCCTGAGTATCCCTCTGTCATTCTAGCTAGCTGTGCCAGCTCTTTTTGGGTTAATGGATTTCCTTGCTTGCTCAAAAGATTTTTTAGTAAAAGCAGTCGTGTCTCTTCATTTGGTAATGATACATACACTCGTTTGATGAATCGCCTGAGAACAGCATCATCAAGCTCTTGTGGCCTGTTAGTTGCTCCCATTACAAGTATTCGGTCTTCTCCTGAAGACTGTACACCATCAAACTCTATTAAAAATTCCGTTTTTAAACGTCTGCTAGCATCATGTTCACCTTCTCTTCTTTCACATAAGAGACTATCCACTTCATCTATAAAAATTATAGAAGGTTGAAGTTCTCTGGCTACTGCAAAAAGAGCACGAACTAGTTTCTCTCCTTCACCAACATATTTTGATGTTAGACTTGCAGCACTTATGTTAAAGAAAGTTGAATTTGATTCTGCAGCCACTGCTTTGGCCAACATCGTCTTTCCATTTCCTGGTGGGCCAAACAACAACAATCCACGTGCAGGAGCCCTAAGGCCTGTAAACAGCTCAGGTCTAAGTGAAGGAAGAATAACAATTTCTTGCAGTGCCTGCTTAGCCAGCTCTTGCCCAGCAATATCATCAAATTTGACAGATGGCCCACTGTCTACTATTTCATTGAGAATAAGATTAGCAAGATTACTATCCACGTTTCTAAAAACCTTCATGTCTTTCTTTTTTCGCACAGCAGTTGTAGGAGTAGAAGGCTTGTTGGCTCTATTATTTTTTGGAGTAGCCTTCTGAGTTGAAGCTGCGGGAACAGTTCCTTGTCTAGGTACAGAAAAATTGGATATTCCACTATAACTAGGTGTCCTTTGGTGCCCTGAAAGCCCCACAGATCCAGTTTTGGCCACTGATTTTGAACGAGGGAGTGAGTTACTCGTTTGAGTCAATGGGTCCTTCTTTTTTGGAACAGCTCCACTTTCTGACTGGAGATGTCCATTGCGGCATACCAGGTTAGTACTGTCACTACAGATTTCCATTTGCAGCTTGGGAATTTGCTTAACTGCCTGCATCTTCTCTAACAGCTGCAAACGGTCCTTGGCCATTGCCAAATTTGTCATCATTTTAGACTGGAGACGGCGAGCTCGATCACAATGATCTCCTTGACCAGTAACTAGCACAGCTATTCCTTTTTCCAGTTCTTCAATCCCCTTTCTGTACCATTCAACAGCTTGTTCCTTTTGTCCTGCGGCCTCGTCTTCGTCAATGCGCAGCGGCGTGGAGATGCACTCGAAGGCGCGCTTGTGGCAGGCTCGCACGGTCTCGGGAGCGGCGCCGGCCCTGGCGGTGCCTTTGGCGGCTGCCATGAGGATGCCGCCGCGGGAGAGGCGCTCGCAGAGCCAGGCGAACAGCAGCCCCAGCTGGAAGGCCAGGAAGCGGAGCAGGGCGAAGGCGGCGAACAGCGGGTACGAGAAGTAGTAGAGGTTGCGCTTGTGAGGGGAAGCCGCCGCCGCCGTCGCCGCAGCTGCCTGTTGCTGGTGGTGCTGGACGGAGGGAGCCGGCCCGGCCCCGGGCGGAGAGGAAGTCCCGGCGGCCCGCGTCGGGGAGCTGGAGGCGGCTAAGCCCTTCTTCTTCCCTCTCCCGCCCGGAGAATTCATTCACCACCGCCGTCGCCATAACCCGCTGCCAGCGACTGACAACAACCAGCCGCCCGGGCCTGCCATGGCACAGGCTACGCCCCTTTCCCTCAGCCCCGCTATCCTTTTTGAGCTATTTTTCAAGAAATTCGCCAAAATCTACACTTAATGGGTTGCCATACACCCGGATTTTTATAGACATTTCAGCAATATTATCTACACTGATTTGCAGCGGCTCTCCAGGGTTTCAGGCAGGAATCCTTTCCTCAGCCCAGCCTGGGGAATGAAAACCTGGGACCCCATGTATGAAAAAGAGGTGCTCTGGCTCTGAGCCACAGCCCTTCCCAAAGGCCTGATCCCTCCTCCTTCATGCCTTTCTTTGTGTGACGGAGTAAATAAACCACAAAGGGGGATATCTTAGCATTGTTCCAAACCCAAGATAATAGTTCATTTCTCCCCAACAAGCCAGTTTCGGTAAACAAGGTGGAATGTCCCTGGGCTTGCAATAGATTTAACTCCCAGTTGTTTCAGAGCAACAGCCACACAATGGTCAACTGCTGGAATGTAATGGAAACTAGTCCGCTGACTTGCTCTTAAAATTCATTTGCTAATGAAGCAGCATGTGTGTTTGTGTGATCACTGGCTGGGAGTTGGGGGAGCAACATCTCAAGTGTCACAGGTTCCTCCACTCCCAGTGCAGAATATTATACACTCCGGGTGCCATAAGGGATCAAATCTGGCCTCAAGTGGAAAAATCCCAGTTGAGATCCCACCATAAAAGTGGGGGCAGTACCAGGGCTTTTTTTCAGCCTTCTAGCAGTCAAAAAAAAAAAAAAAAAGAGGACGACAAAGTGCTACAAAATGGTATTTATTGTGAACTGAACGCATTTTGGAAAAGGCTATTTCTCAAGCGCACTGAAATATAGAAAGCAGCTGAGACCACCTGAGACTCTGCCAATGACCACCCACAAGACCAGCTTTCACAGTGGACAGCTTTCAACATGCTGAGCCAAGCCATGGCTTGACTCAGCAAGGCAAAAGAGCAAAAGGACCTCCCTGGGAACCAGCATACTCATTCATTCGTGCAAACCACAGCTTGGCTTAGCATGACGTGTGACCCCAGGTCTATATAATATTTATTCAGCACAGAGTACACGCGGGTTTGCCTAACAGTTATTAACATGGCATTTCCTATTTCTGTGCTGCTTGTTTTTCTACAGGTCACCAAGTACTCAACCATTTCTTATCAGTTTTTCTGGTGGCCTTTGTGGTAGAAAAAGCTGTCCTTCTGCTTAGGGCATCCAGAAGGTTTCTCATGGAAAAGGTTTCCTCTGATACTAATCAAAACCAGCAAGGGAAACTTCTCCTGCACTCAGGGCAATTGGTGGAGTCTCCCTCCTGTACAGGCCGCCTGACAGTTTCATCAAATGGCAGCTCCCCAGTCTTAAAGCACTTTATACGAAGTGCTTTCTCATATGTATCGCCTGATGCCTCAACAGATGCCCACTCTGCCTGAAGCATTTCCTGCAATCGGGACATTTGTATGGTTTCTCTCCAGTATGTATCCTCTGATGCCTCCTCAAATTTCCTCTGCGAGTGAAGCTTTTCCCACACTCAGGACATTCATACCATTTCTCTCCTGTCTGGGTTCTCCGATATTTATCAAGACGGGACTTTTGCAGGAAGTTTCCCCTCCCCGTAGTACTGTCATGAGAGTCTTCCCTGGTAGGTTTCAAGAGACGTCCTGATCTGCAGAGGTGCTTTTTAACATACTTGGATGACAAGGGTGTTCCTCCCCTTATTTTCACTGCAGAGGTTTGGTTAACAGCAGCTCTAAGACCTTCCACAGGTTCACAGCATTCGTTTTGGTCCTTCACAAATTTCGACTTGCATCTTTGCCCACAAACTGCAGCTCTCAGAGTGAGGTTCTTCTGGGATACTTCTGCAGGTGTCCTACGTGTTCTCTTTAAGCCCATTTCTGTCTGTTGAGAATCCTCTCTCCTGATGTTTCTTCCCTTCCTGTCTCCTGGAGAGAAAAGAGAGAATTCTGTCCCTGTTCTAGTTCCCCTCAACAACAACAAAAAAGGCACCTCAAGTCACACAACAAGGCCAATCGATGCCAAAGAAACCTGCCCACACTCCTCATCACAACACAAGACAACCAGGCAAAATAATATGAAGCAAAGGTTTTGATTTATTATTTATTAAGCCTTTTTTAAAAAGCTTTTCCACTTTTTCTATTGGAGGGTGTGGTATAAAGGTCAAGGTAAAGGGACCCCTGACCATTAGGTCCAGTCGTGACCGACTCTGGGTTTGCACCGCTCATCTCGCTTTATTGGCTGAGGGGGCCGGCATACAGCTTCCGGGTCATGTGGCCAGCATGAGTAAGCTGCTTCTGGCGAACCAGAGCAGCGCACAGAAACACCGTTTACCTTCCTGCTAGAGCGGTACCTATTTATCTGCTTGCACTTTGACGTGCTTTCAAACTGCTAGGTTGGTAGGAGCAGGGACCAAGCAAGGGGAGCTCACCCCGTCGCAGGGATTTGAACCGCCAACCTTCTGATGGGCAAGCCCAAGAGGCTCAGTGGTTTAACCCACAGCGCCACCCGCGTCCCTTGGTATAAAGGTACACAGCAACAAATTCCAAAAATTGCAATGAAATCTATTGCAATGTTAAAAAAAAGAAAAAGTGAAATGCAACAAAACTGAAGGGAATATTATATAAAACCCAGCTCGTGGTACAAAAAAAAAGGAATATTAGAACTGTGCTGGCAAAGTGTGTAAGGGCCACCTTTGTCCTTGGATGGCTCCACAGAGGCCCTGTGAAACCTCCGATCCCATAGTTAGATAGCACCCTGTGAGCGTGGACATACAATTTGCAGGGTTGGGACTATTGAGTAAATAGGTTTTTGTGGAAGAAGGTTCAAAGTCCAAGCCTGGAGAAAAAGAAAGAGGGCAGAGTGAAGCAAGTCAGATTGCACTAAAGGACATGAGTGGAACAGGTGTGTTAAAACAGGAGGATAAACTGTGCTGTTGTCGGGAGACAACCACAACAGCCCCTCACCCTGTCCCCCCTGGAGGGAAAGGTAGGGCCAAACATCTGAATGTGCAGAGACCAACTTTGTGGCTTTTTTGTATGGGCTCTGTATGAATCAAAAATCAAACTAAAGAAATGTGAATGCTTAACTGGGATGAGCTGGGCGAGACGGTGATCCGACGCAAACCTGAAAGTGCCGTTCCACTGGAGAAAGGAAGACATTCGCCCTCAGATGCTCTCGAAGCTGACGGTCCCAAATTGTTCAGCTGAACCTGGGAAGGTTTGGTTGCCTGACTGGTGGCAGTGTTCCTCATCGTTTTGTGCCAGTGAATGATATCGGTAACGTGGCACTGCCAGGTCCTGCTTGACGTGTGGGAACTGGTTCAGCCATTTGAAAAAGAGCTGCGTCTGCCACTCCCTGGTGGCTGTTCCCTTCCAGGAAGGCCTAGTCGCCCTTCCACAGATGCCCTGCCTCTCGCCAGCACCGCAGCCAATTCCTCTCGTAGTCATGGGTCCTTGTCTCATCCGAGATCCATAGCAACTGGGAGACAGTCCAATTGTTTGAAAAGAGTCACCCCCAGTTCTCAATAAAGGCACGGATTTCCCCATCTATCCCTAAGTTGGACCATAAGTTGGGGAAACGGTGAACACGAACAACAACAGGTAAAGGTAAAGGACCCCCGAACGGTTAAGTCCAGTCAAAGGCGACTACGGTGCTCATCTCGCTTTCAGGCCGAGTTGTCCACAACAGACAACTTTCTGGGTCATGTAGCCAGCATGACTAAACCACTTCTGGCACAACTGAACACTGTGATGGAAGCCAGAGTGCACGGAAACACAGTTTACCTTCCCGTCACAGCAGTACCTATTTATCTACTTGCACTATGACGTTCTTTCGAACTGCTAGGTTGACAGGAGCTGGGACAGAGGAACAGGAGCTCACCCCGTCGCAGGGATTCGAACCGCCAACCTTCCAATCGGCAAGGCCAAGAGGGTCATTGGTTTAGACCACAGTGCCACCCGCCATATTTGAGCACGGCGCAATTATGTAGAAACCAGGATTTATGAGAGCAACGCAGGACAGGAGGGGAGATGTGGTAAAAGGCAAGGACAGGTGTGATACACAGTGGGATAAACCGCGACGCCAAAACAATACAGGTGCCAGAGGCATAAAACGGGACTCAGATACAGTGGCAGAGCATAAACAGGAGCGAGCCGTAGAACAAATGTTAAGGGGAAATACAGGCATAGTAAGAACACATATGAAGAAAACACTTATACCTGTGTTTGACAAAAGACACACAAAGACACACAACTCTTTAATGTAAAACAGGGGTGGGAAATCTTTTTTCAGGCAGAGGGCCACATTCCTTCTGGGCAACTTTCCAGGGGCCGCATGCCTGCGGTGGGCAGGGCAAGAAGCAAATGTTCAAGGTCACATTACAGCTCAGACAAACGCCACTTGCGGAGGGCATCAAACAGAGCCATTAGGATGTATGGCTTGGGGAAAGCTGGACAGAAAGGCATGACTGAGGGGCTCCCTGTTAGGATATTTCCGTTCCACCTTAAAAAGGGGACAGGCTGTTGTGAGTCACAACCTGTGTACTTCCTGCTCACAGGAAGTTTCTGTTTTGTATATAGCTTTTGTCTCTCTCTGTTGCCTCGACACGCAGGCAGGCATGTTTTTTCCTTTGTTCTGACCAACGCCAAATAAATCTGTAAGATATGCTCTCCTGGGTGCATCTTTCGTTGTTGAAGCTCTGCGAATAGGGCGTGCATGAGTCCTGGAATGTGGACAGCTATTTCCGAGGCTCGTGTCGCTAATTGACTGATACTGTTTCCACGGGAGACTGGGACGTGGAGGCACGATGGCCTTTGTCTCCCTGGCAGTATCCCAACACTCCCCACCACTGCCATAGGCACTAAGGAATACCACGCAGGCCACACAAACACTCGCACACACACACACTCTCCATCCTCTGGCCAAGGAAGCAATAAT